TCGACCCTCATAACTCACTCTAGATCGTACCAAACTAGAAGCATTAATACTATTCCTTAGGGCTCCTTCTAACAAATACAGCATAATGTGCGCCAAAATCCCTACTCTAACCATGCAGGCCCCCATACTACTGCCCATAGCAATGCCTGGGTCGGTGTCGACGTCTGGCTCCTCACGGCCCAGTCGCCCAGCTGCGGTAAGGGCTCCTGCTTTCCCGAGACCCCTAAACCCTAAACCCTAACACAACTCTATACCCGGACCCCTAACTAAACCCTAAACCCTAAATCCTAAACCCTGAACCCTAACTGAAGCCTAAACCCTATCTGAACCCTAACTAAAAGCCCTAGACCCTGGCGAAGTTGTGGTGGGTCCCATTCGGGTGTGGCTTCGGCTTCGCAGAGGACGCTTACAGGTGAAGGCTTCAGGGAAGAGAGATAAAGATGAGAGTTTAGAGTCCCTTCAAGGGTTCAGGGATAGGGTTTAGTGTTTTTAGAGAGTTTACGATAGAGGGCGTAGTTCTTCAGCAATCGCCTATGTCCCAAGATACCAGCCATATACTATGTAGCCCAGGAAAATATCCTTTAGGCCCTAGTAGCCCCGAAAACCCTAAGCCGTGACTCCAAAAACCCAAGGCCCTAAACCCTAAGCCCTTAAATCAGCCGCCGAAATCCTGATAGCCGAAGCCCCAAACCCGAGACTACCCCCAAAAGTCCCACAGAACCTAAACTAGGGTTTAGGGTTTAGGGTTTAGGGTTTAGGGTTTAGGGTTTAGGGTTTAGGGTTTAGGGTTTGCTGAACTAAGCTACCATAGTGGGGATCTAGAGTAAATAATACGGCTTTATTCTTTATGGTAACTTACAGTAAATCCCTTAGCAAGAACCCAGTAAAGCCACTAAAGCCGCAAAGGAACCTTGCAAGGAGCCCTGAAATAGTAACTCTTGCCGGAACCCTTGGGGAAACCCTTTCTTACAGCAAGCCTCTAACTTACTTCTCCGATAAGCCAGGGAAATAAGATTACTGCAAAATTTGAAGAACCTAAAAAAGTTCAAAGGTTGGGTATTGGAGAACTAAGTTAACGAGGAATCCTCAAGGAATCCCTTAAAAGAATCTGGAACTAAACGCCACCCCAGGCCCACAGCTCCTAAACCCTAACTAAACCCCAATACGCTTCACAGCCCCTAAACCCGGAACCCTAAACAAACCCTAAACCCTGAAACCCCAAAGGGAACCCCAAAACACCCGCCAGGTGGCCTCTCGCCTGGGGCTGCGACTCAAGGATCGTTTTGCCTGGCCCAGGAACCCAGAGACTCCAAAACCAGGGTTTAGGGCGCCTTTAAGGCTTCCTTTAAGGGTTTTTCCGTCAGGGTGCCTTTCAGGGTTCTACTACGGTTTCTAGAAGGGTTTAGGGGATAGTTGGGGCGAAGGGGCGTGCCGTAGATTCCGATGCGATCCCTCTAGTATGCATGTTTGTACTATTTATCTATCTATCGATCGATGTATCCAACTAACTATCGATCTATCTACCTACCTATCCATCTATCTATCTATCTATCTACCTATCTAATCAGTGACTACATGTACGTGTATACATATCTATATATAGATATATATATATATATATGTATATGTATATACATATACCTATATACATATATATATATATTGATATTTGTATTTATATTTATATTTATATTTATATTTATGTATTTAAAACATCTAATTTGTTTATAGTGCAGGCGTTATATCTACATATATATATATATGTATGTATGTATGTATGTATGTATGTATGTATGTATGTATGTATCGGCTGGATCATGGGGGGGGGGCGTGAGCATATACATACATACATACATACATACATACATACATACATACATACATACATACATACATACATATATATATGTATTTGTTTTTTATTTATACACATGCATACATTCTGTGGAGATCACCAGGCAACATCACAAGGCTCACTAGTATGAGAAGAATACAGTTCTGATGGTCGTATAGGTATATACGTCGTTGTCAGCCCATCAGACTGTTGCAAGCGCATGCGGCTCTTTGGAGTTTTCCAAGTTGGGGCCCCAGCTTCGGATTCATCCGGATTGTCAGTTGCTTTCCAAACGCTAGACAACCTCTCAGTGTGAAATTATTGGCGAATCGTTAGTATGAACGGCTGTAAACCCGACACTGTCGGATATGTCCAGCTGACAAACACTGATTGAAGACACAAACAGTTCTGTGGCCCGGGCAAGGCTAAGCAAGTAGCTCGAACCACCGATTCCTTGGCGATCTGATTGACGCTTCGACCAATCTACGCTGAAACCAGAAATCCAACAGCGTGCAATGATGCCCTGTTTTACTATTATTATCATTACTACATTACTACATTAAAGCCTGGGCTTGGCGTGCAACTTCCAATCAACTGATGTGCGAAACTCCAGGAAGTTGGGCGTAGCTGCGGACACTTGGGTTGAGCTAAAACGGGGCGGCAACAGGCTAGCAAGTCCAGGGCTGTGAAGGCGACCGTGAGGTTCGTCCCGGTGGCACGTGCAACCCATTAAGCAATGCCAGACAGACAGCTGACAGAAAGCATCATCCATTGCATCAGGCTGTGGACACCGCCCACAGTGCCAGGCGTAAGGCTTTCTTTCGGCATATGACGGGCGGTGTTCGTGGAGATGTTGTGCACGCAGATTCGAACCAAGTGCTATTAACTCTGCCTGCTAAATACTGCTGCCTATTGTGACAATTAAGCAAATATTGGTATGATCGGCTTGTATCATTTTAGTGCGATTAAGATTATCACGAATTCGGTTTTCTGTGCGCCCGCGAAATTGAGCAGTCTGAAATAGTCTTAACTATTTCTTGACTATAATAGCGACTGCAACTACCACGAGGCCGAAAGTTCATTGTTCCTCACAGCCATGAAGGCGATAACTAGAGTAACTAGAGCTAAGTAGCATCACCATTGCTTCTTAACAGCTGACACCTGGCTGAGCGAAGAACTGTAATGGAAGTGACTGCCTCGAGCTATAGTGTTGGCATCACACATGCTGGCAATTTTCCCTGCTTTGGCATTGTCCGCAGAAACGACCTACTAGCAGGACCTACGCTCGAGAGACCGATGTCCCTGCAGGAGACATGGCTAAGATGAGCAGAGTAAATCTACGGAAAGCATCATGCGTGATGGAGGATCTGGTCATATACCCAACAACATCTAACGGGGCCTAGTTTAGGCGAGAGTGCACCGTTGCCGTCACAGCCCGATCTCCCCTGACATCCTGTCTCCCTGGATGGGTGTACGATGAATGCCCGGTTGCTGCCGTGGATTCCGACCCCTCATGGCATACTACTCTTCTCGCCAAAAAAACCAAAATATCTGCGAGAGAATCCCGCCAGTCCTAAACGGCCAAACAAACGTCTTCAGCATGCTCATGAACCTGTCCAAACTCCTATCCCTGATAACTCTTCATGGATCAGGCGCCAGCCGCTGGTACAGGAACGGATACAAACATCTATATGCATATATGGATAAACCACAGAGAACCCTATGTTCTCTTCCCTGTCAAACTCGAGCCCGCGAAGCTCCAGAGGCACCGGTAGCAACCCCAGCTTGTGTCGCCCTCGTCAGCGTCTTGCCCTCCGCAAGCATGTGTTAGTACCGCTGTGGATGCTTTGCCTATATGGCTCCCCACTGCGCGTGAAGGAGGCTCCACATTCACGGAGACTCTTGCCGGTGAACCTAGGATTCTGAATACTGACAGCCAGGATCAGCTGAAAACTGTCCTATGCAGATAAACAACTAGTTCTACGCAAGGATCGTAAAAAACTACTACAAACTTGTAATGGAGTCGATGGAGGTTTGGGTCTTGCTCCATGCGACGGAGCTTTATGGGAACCAACTCGACCACCCAAAGCGATGCAGAGATAGGGACTGGATCCGAGTGCACAGACAAAAAGGCAGACATCCATGCATGCATCCATGCATGCCTACATGCGTGCCATTATTTGTTTCTGTCTGAGCACAACACATATGTACACACACACATATACATATACATCTATATATATATATATAAACACACATACACATGCATACACATTTACACATATATGCGTACACGTTATCAGTTAATCTTAACGTGTTTATTTGTTTGTTTAGGGTGTGTAGACGCGCAACACACATATGCGTGCATATGTGTGTATATATATATATACAGAAACATATATATATATATACACACACACACATATATATATATATATGTATGTATGTATGTGTGTATGTATCACTGGCTTCAGTATCTTCTGGCATCAACCGCACATGCCAAGAGAGTAAGTGTGCGCAACTCCGGTTGTGTAGAGCTCCGACACAAGTTCATCTGACGACTCAAGCGGCACACAAGACAAGACAAAAGTGTGCACGTATATAGTATATATATATATATATATGTGCGTGTGTGTACACATGCTGTATGCGTGCGTATATACATGTATGTCAGAGAACAAAGGGACGCATGTACAAGGTTTGTACGTGCGTATGTATGCATGCATACGCATGTCTGTCTTCCTGCCTGTGTCTGCCTGTCTGTCGGCCTCTGTCTCTGTCAGTCTCTCTGTCTATTTGTCTCTTTGTCTGTCCGTCTGTCTGTCCGTCTGTCCGTCCCTCTGCTTGTCTCTGTCTGTCTGTCTGTCTGTCTGTCTGTCTGTCTGTCTGTCTGTCTGTCTGTCTGTCTGTCTGTCTGTCTGTCTGTCTGTCTGTCTGCTGTCTGTTTGTTTTGTTTGTCTGCCCGTCTGTCTGTATGACCTGTGAGCATGTACCTAAACCTCGAAGCAGGAACTATCAGAAACTCATGTAACGAATCGGCGAGTTCAAGCGTCCACGAGCCCCATAAACACATGGTGTTAGGCATCCAAATGATTAAAGTGACTAGCCCCGCCCCATGTTGCATGCTGTCTCGGTGGTGCTTCACGCTGACAGCAGCGGCTGATCGTCAGCATTGCACACTGATTTCATTTACGGCCCGAAGCTGAATGTCGCACTTTGCGTCAGCTTTGAGGGCGTCTGTCGGAAGATCTTTGTCAGGCTGAAGATCTTCGCCAGTCCGAACGGCCTTGTCAGAGGACGGGTCGTTCCCTTCGCAGTCGGCTCCGGACTTGCCCGATGTTTCTGGACCTTGGATCATCCACGACCGAGATGCTTGTATGTTCAGAACCTGCACGACAATTCAAAGGGCTACATCCTTCCGCCTTGCGTGCGGCGAGGTTCGGCTGTTTTGTTCCAAGATGCTTAATCGTGAAGCCGGGTGTGTCTGTACATAATGCAGACCGGGCACCTGCCGGAAGCTTCTTCAAGATCTCCTTCACACGCTCTTTCCAATCCTGGATCCGAGGTCGTGCACGAGCAAGCGAGAGAGACATCAAGATAGAGAGAGAAAGAGAAAGAGGGCTGAAAGCGCAACATGCAGCAAGAACCTAGTCCCCTGATCTTCCGGCTTTCAACCTTAACTCCAGTCCAAACCTGGGGATCGGGTCTCCAACCCAGAGTGCCTCGTGCGTTTAGGATAAACTTGCTACCATACCAACCCGATGCGCGCCCTCAAATTCGACTTCGGCCGTGCATTTGGATTTTGCTCCTTTTGTGCAGCCGACATCGAGGTTTGCGTTGCTTCCTGTTGAAACATGAAGGTTACGAATGACGAAGATTTCTTAACGCAGCAATGATGCAAAAGCCCAAGCCCCTTCAGGTGAAGAGACAACTCCGGCCAAGTGTGCCAAGCGAGAGTCAGGGACTAGATTGGACCTGTGCCGCATGCTGCTGGTCGGCTGATCCTCAGTGAAGACACAATATAGCTCCGCATACTTGTAGCAGGCACCCTTTCTTTCTGTCTTTGACGACTTGTCTCAACAGACAGTGAAAAGGCCAAGAACGACAGAGACTACATAACTGCTTAGTCAATACACGACTCATGACTTTATCAATCCTAATTCACCGCATCCGCTCATGGAAAGAGGCAGAGCTGGCAGCGCCGGCGCCGGAGGTGAACCGTTGCCGCTTCCTCACATAACTTGACAACTCAGCAATGCACACAACACTACTACAAACGTCCAGTAGTGAATGCTGATCACATAAAGGATGCTGATGCCAAAAACATACAGAGTGCCCTTCTGTTTGCAAGCCGTTTGCTGCATATCACGCGTGAAATCTGCCTTACAAACGGCATGGGCGCGCATGTCATGCTGCTGCTATTGTGGTCTCACCAGTGAAGACGATGTTGCATGGACCAGTGTTGTGGTTTCCGTGAGGTCGTACTTCCCGCTGCAGTAGCTATGGTGCTGTCTCTTCTGCGACTGCAACACACTGCTGCTACTGCTACGGTGGTGAACTCTGTTGTCCCGGGGTTGAATTCATCCCACAATCCGGGAAGCCCGAAAGCAAGGGCCGAAGATCCGTGGGCTGTCTGCAAGAAGAAAGCCGCAATCGTTGAACTCCGCTGCATCGTCCTGCTCTGGACTTTAAGCTGCAGTTTCGGTTTCCCGGGTGCAGCTGCAAGTAATCAGCAGGATCATCTGAACCCTGGCAAGTCTTGCAGTCTTGCAGACTCTGACATGCAAACCGGTGCTTAAGAAGACCGCGCAATGCCCTACAGGGGAACAGCGAGCTAGACCCTTTCAGGATGACTTCGCAGCAGTATAGCTGGCCAAGCAAGACATAACAAACTCAACACCGCAACGCCTGAGCTCCTGATGACAGTAATTCCGATTTATGCGCTATGGCTCAAAGCCAAAAACAAACTCAGCCTTATGAAGCCCCAAATCCGAGCAGTGCTGGAGATCTCGAAACCCCCCCGACCAGCACAATCCGAAATTCGCAAGTAGCACTTGGCCTGAAACCTCAAATCCCGCGCAGCGAGCAGCAATAGCCCCAGACCTACTAAGAAGCCCAGAGAAGCCCTGTACAAAAACCGGAAAAAGAGCCCCACAGTACGCCTCGAAGCTCTCGAGGTCGGAGCCACCCTCACCCTCCGACGGAGAGCAGGTATCCTCGCTCCCGATCCTGACAGCACCAGTTTCAGGTGCACTGGACATCGCAATAACGATTGCAGGAGGCAGTTACTCTATAAGCACTTGGCAGCTGTAAAACAGTCTAAGAAGAGTCCGATCGTTCCAAGCCCGGGGCGAGCAGACTGTATAGTACTTCTGCCAGATATGCCAGGAAGGGATGCGCAGACTTGCAGATGCATAGAACGCAGGTGCGGGAACTACCGTCAACATGCATCCACGAAAAAAGCAGCTGGTGTAAAATCCGTTGCAGGATACTTCGTCCACATGCGCGGACTCAAACAAAACAGCAATGCCCACGGAGACTGCGGCGCACACCCGAATAATTAACTCGAATCCTGACTATTTGACCCAAAGGCAGCGTGGACTTGCTAGCCTCGAAGCATAGCTTGAAACCGAACTCATGACCACTGGATGCGAATCCGGAGGGCTCTTCACTGCTATCGCTCGCGTCAAGGTGCAACCTCCGAGAGCGATTTGGTCATGGCGCTTCCGAAGTTCCTACGAAAAAGATGGAGCCATCCTAGTTGGAAACTCGGGTACGGCATGTCTACTTAGGCAACCCCCGCAAATCCCCGAGAACAATACAGGAAGCTGATTAAGAAACCTTGGATCCTTATAGGTTTCGGGGTTATAACAAACAGAAGAAAATAGTCATAATAGCAATACTCACAGTAACAATAATCAATGTCATCACCGTCATCATCATCATCATCATCATCATCAACATAACAAGGCTCATAACACCGAGTATGACAGACTGTGGCACGGTCGTCCATAGACATGCTCGTAGAGAGCGAGAGACGGACAGACAGACAGGCAGACAGACAGAGAGCGCAAGCGGGAGAGGGAGAGGCAGAGGGCGAGAGAGAGAGAGAGACTTCTTTTTGCATATACGGTAGATAAAGGCACAAAAGAAACAGGAAACACATGGCAGATGAATGGCTAATTTGAGAGAAAGGAAGCAGTCTGAGAATGTCTAACATGACATATATTTCTATAAATATATGTACTGTATGCATATTCCATATATACATATATATATATATACACATACTTATTTGTTTATGTATTTATTTAATGTTCATTTGTTTGTTGATTCATTCGTTTGTTTATTTCTCTATTTATTCATTTCTAGAACTCATATATCTAGCTGCCGGTTACATCTTCGCCTGGTGCACAACAAACGACACAAGATTGCGTAAACTCTCTTTAACCTAGTTTCCATGGACCCTTTATAGGCCCGAAGCATCCCTGTTTCGGTCCAAGCGTCTCGTCGGAGTGACGAAGTCGACTGGAACGCGGTGCCTCGTCCTGCACTTGGTTTAAGAGCGTGTGACGACTCGGGTATAGGGTGCTGGCTACCTGGTTTAAACGCAGCAAACTTGTTGACATTTGGTACTGTAGCTGACTCACTTTTTGTGCCACTGTATGCCGCCCAAGCGATCAGCAGAGTTTGAGGCATGCGGGACCGAGTAATTCAGCTTCCGCAAATCGCCTCGTGCTCATAAGACCACCTGAATTAATCTGACGAAGCACGGGGAAGACTGGCACCTGAATTGATTAAACGCGAAGTATAGGATCCAGCTTCTCCCTTACAGGTCGAGACTTCTTCAAGTCTTCCGAGGCATGCCTGTAGGGTTTAGGGATCCATCCTGGCTTACAAGTCTTTACAAGTCTTAAACATGCAACCATAAAAGGGTAAACTTCCAAAACTGTAGAAAAATGCAGTGACCTCCCGAAAAGTTGGAACACTGATTTCGGATGATTGGTGCGAGGTACCCAAGACCTACCTATGCCTATACCCATATCTAGCTATAGAGTATAGATGTGTGTATATATTAACACACACACACACACACAAACAAACATACACGTACCCCCAATGAAATTGCATCAGTATAAATTGTGCTCCAACTTTCTGGCAGTTGCTGTAACGGCAAGGACGAAAAGGGTGCTCACGGCGATTCTCCGATGCTGCACCCTCAAAAAGCCCCGACTCATCGTGCACCGAGGTCGCAGTAAGCCACGGCTTGCACCGTCGAGGCAACAAAAATGGCCATGGAGCCGACCACGTCCGTCACATCTGCCCCACACAAGGCCTCCCTCTTTCCGTATTGGGGACAATCCACGAAGGCCAAAGAGAGCATCTGTGCGCAGTACGCCAGGGAGCCCAACACGTAAACCACATCCACTGTGCACACCTTGGGGTCATCACATGAGTGAGATGCTTCGTTGATCGAGAGCAGGGCCCGCAACAGCCATCCAACAGCATCCACGGAGTCGAAAACACAGTTGGCAAGGGCAAAGTTCCGCTCGGTTTTGCGGTTGCCATGCCTGTGAATGGCCTTGATCCTCTGGAATGTGGAGTCCAAGGCACTCCTCGGGAGTCCATGAGAAGCAGCATCAAAGAGGACATTCGGCAGTGCAGCATGCTCATGGTCCGGGTGCTTGCTTGTGGTCTCCTTCAGAAGACGTTGAAGCTCCGCACTCTTGTTCCTGTACAGGCCCACAGCACGAGCATCTGAGTCATGGGAGCGGGCTTGGCCCAGCCGCCGACCATGGTCCAATACGAACTTCGGCCGGGGCGGCTGGAAGACTCTGTTGTTGACGAAAGGCCTTGTGAGGAAACAGTCCTCGTCAAAGCCATAGATGGTTGAGCCAGCCGTGGCCAGGTCCCTCAGAATCGCTGCAGCACAAGAGGTTCCGTAGTTGATGGTCTCTGCACAAGTAGAAGTAGCGCTTGTGACGAATGACATCACCCACAGGATCGCCGTAACTGCGTGCGCGACTGGAGCTGTGCATCCAAGCGGCTCATCGTCCGGGCAGATCTCTGCACGGTATATGTTCGTCACAGCTTCTCCAAGGTATGATGCGGCTTGGACGGCATCGATGACACAAGTGGTTTGCACAACCTTTTCTTCCTCTGGGTCGCTGCTGTAAGGAACATTGCCTTCGTCGTCCTCGAAGTAGTTCACATCATACAACTCTCTCCCCGGAGCCAAGCCTCTCGGAAGCATGTCAGGACGGGGGGAGCGAGTCCAAAAACAAGCTGCGAGCACGAGGCCGCAACCGAGGGCGCCGACAAAGCCAGCAAGGACCTTCACACCGAGTCTCGGGACGCTCGAGGTTTTCGAGCTCTCCTCCGAAAGCAACTGAAGCTCTTCCGACATGGCTGTACCCCGATCTGAAGTGTTCTGGGCAGGGGGCTCGACCAAAAAAATGGCTCCAGTTGTTCAAACAGGAGATACTGTTCGTGGCAAATCCACAGGGGAAAGGCTTCGGAGCCTTTTGTGAAATACGGAGAGATGATGACGTTAATGCTACGCAGTGGTTTGAAAAACAGTCTTCAGCAAAGACGCCTCCTCAGCCGAACTCATGTCGCTGAAGGCGAGCTTGCCGTCCAAGGTCTTCTGAGGGTCGGCCTGAAATCCATAGAGCCAGGGCTCGAAACAATTGTTGCTGGAGGGCCACGACATACAGTAGTGCTTCCAGATCCGATCTGAAGCCCGTATTGCACAAAACAGATTCAACGCAACATGGACTCTCGATGCCAGTGGCACTGCTTGTATTGGCATTGAACATGCCAGTAGACTGGTCCAAAAGTGGAGTTGGGGAGACTGCTGCAAATCCACGTACATGCTGTGCAAAGCATGAAGCGCGACGTACAAACACGAACGAAACACAGGCAGTTCCGTGTGCACGCGCACTGCTGCACGCGGGATGATGCGCGGATAAGGACCATGTCCAAACCGGTGCCTCCATGATTCTCGATGCATTTTGCTCAGCACAGCCAGGCGAGGTCACTGAAAGGGTGGCCGCACAAACAAAATCAGATACATATATATATATATATGTACATACATACATTTATATATATATATATATGTATGTCTGTATGTATATCTTTAGCTGATGGCGGGTGAGGAAGAGCCAGGCCGGCACATATCTGTAAGCCAGCAAGCGGATAGGCAGGCGTGCATGCGAGTGCGCATACAGACTTCTCAGCGTGCCAACTGCGTTTCTGCAAACAAAGATGGACAGAAGATAACGTGTATAGTTTTCTAGCATGGTCTGCATGTATGCGTTTATGGATGCATGTTATACAATTTTGAATATGTATGTATGTAACAATGTATGTATGATCTACTTGGTCACTACACTCATTTGGAGGAGCCGGGGGCGACGTGGTCTATCCAGCTCCCGTCGCCGACGAAGCTCTTCTTGATACCCTGCTGGAAAACCCTCTCGCAGCTTCGCTGATGAACTCATTCATAGCACTTTCGGCAGGAGGTAATCCACAATTTCACTCGCAAACGCATCCTTTGCATGGCTGAGTTAACACGCACGCCATACCGAATGGTGGTTGCAAGTAGCGGGAAAGCGAGTCGGGTGCATCGAACCGTGCTCGATTTCACCATTGCATGTTATCTTGCCCACCTCTCACTGTTATCCAGGCACGAAATAACACTGTGGCATACTACATACATATATCCATTTGCCAGTGCGTCTATTTCAATGTACACCGCTCGCCCTTTCTGTCAGTGTCCATGTGTGCAGTGTACATCTACCCGGAGCGAAGCCAAATAAGTGGAGAGACACACGGAGAGAGAGAGAGAGAGTGTGTGTGTGTGTGTGTGTGCGTGTGTATATATATATATATGTATAGACACATGCTAACCCCCCCCCCCCCCAAGAACTAGCGGCAGGTGTCGCGATTGCACCACCAATGCTCCTAGGTTTAGGCTTCTGGTGTATGATCTCAGCTTAGCATTAGGCTTTGAAGCTTCCAGGGGACAACCTATGCAGTCGGCAGCCGCCTTCATTCTCAATTCTTGCGACCATTCACGCAGATAATCAGCGCGATGATTTCCCCAACGATGAGGATCATTTGTTTGAATACCGGAGCTCAATACAGGCCCGACCATTAACTCCCAAGGTCCTAGTTCGTATGGATTAAAATGTTGTGTCGACTTGTAACCCCATTATGTATNNATGTATACATCCCCATATCAACTCCCATACCGACCTGTAGGTTACTACACTAGCATACATCAGCCTGATTGGCCCCCTGATAGTAAGGACAATGCAGCCCCCCAAAATGGACCTCGCAAACTTAATATTGCCCGTAAGAGCTTCCCTGTACCGGATATTTCCTTCAACTGCAACCCAAATAATGGCCTTGGGAGAAACCCCGACAATTGGTCTCATCAAAAGTTAAAAACCATGGCATCCCCAATACTAGTTCACTGTCAATATTGACACATGTAAGCTAAATACTGCCCAAGCATTTGCTTCAACGGTTGCCGTCATACTCATGCGAATATTAACCTACACAAAACGAATTCCACTAAGAACTACGATCCTTGCTGTCTTCGCTCTGGCGTTCCCCAATAGATGGCGCTTAGCTGTCTAAGGATACTTTCTCACTATAGTATAAGATCATGCCAGACTTGCTGACGGACTTGCCCGTATGCGTGTATTGACATATGAATGTGTGCATATACACATGCTAACCCTCATCCTACACCTGCACTAAATACCAAGATAATGACGAAGATCGTTAACCTCCAAATAACATCAACCCTAACCCTATCCTTGTCATTCGCCCTTATATCAATGGTGACCCTAATATTCGCCCTGACAGCAGCACGAAGGCCATCCATAGTCGTCTTAGTACCACCCAAATTCTGACCCCGATGTTTTCTTATCTGGTTTACACCCTCAGTCAGCTACTGTAGAAGGCATCGTAGCGGTAACTGTGAGAACCAGCGCTCTATCGACCCCCAAACTGATCCGAATAATCTCCTGGTTATTAAATCCAACATATTGTATAATATTGCTGAGCGGACTCG